GTTGGGATGGGGGTTGGGATGGGGAGTGGGATTTGGGATGTCTGGGATGGTGGTTGGGAAGGGGAGCGGGATTTGGAATGTTTGGGATGGTGGTTGGGAAGGGGAGCAAGATTTGGGATGTCTGGGATGGTGTTTGGGATGGGGATGGGATTTGGGATATCTGTGACGGTGTTTGGGATGGGATTTGGGATCTCTGTGATGGTGTTTGGGGTGGGATTTGGGATATCTGTGATGGTGTTTGGGGTGGGATTTGGGATCTCTGTGATGGTGTTTGGGGTGGGATTTGGGATATCTGTGATGGTGTTTGGAGTGGGGATGGGATTTGGGATCTCTGTGATGGTGTTTGGGGTGGGATTTGGGATATCTGTGATGGTGTTTGGGGTGGGAATGGGATTTGGGATGTCTGGGATGGGGGTTGGGAAGGGGAGTGGGATTTGGGATATCTGGGATGTTTTTTGGGATGGGAATGGGATTTGGGATGTCTGTGTTGGTGGTTGGGATGGGATTTGGGATATCTGTGATGGTGTTTGGGGTGGGATTTGGGATGTCTGTGTTGGTGGTTGGGATGGGATTTGGGATATCTGTGATGGTGTTTGGGGTGGGATTTGGGATATCTGTGATGGTGTTTGGGATGGGATTTGGGATATCTGTGACGGTGGTTGGGATGGGATTTGGGATGTCTGTGTTGGTGGTTGGGATGGGATTTGGGATATCTGTGATGGTGGTTGGGATGGGATTTGGGATCTCTGTGATGGTTTGGGATGGGATTTGGGATATCTGTGACGGTGGTTGGGATGGGATTTGGGATGTCTGTGTTGGTGGTTGGGATGGGATTTGGGATATCTGTGACAGTGGTTGGGATGGGATTTGGGATCTCTGTGATGGTGGTTGGGATGGGATTTGGGATCTCTGTGATGGTTTGGGATGGGATTTGGGATCTCTGTGATGGTGCTTGGGATGGGATTTGGGATATCTGTGACAGTGGTTGGGATGGGATTTGGGATCTCTGTGATGGTGGTTGGGATGGGATTTGGGATCTCTGTGATGGTTTGGGATGGGATTTGGGATATCTGGGATGTTTTTTGGGATGGGAATGGGATTTGGGATATCTGGGCTGGTGTTTGGGGTGGGATTTGGGATATCTGTGATGGTGTTTGGAGTGGGGATGGGATTTGGGATCTCTGTGATGGTGTTTGGGGTGGGATTTGGGATATCTGTGATGGTGTTTGGGGTGGGAATGGGATTTGGGATGTCTGGGATGGGGGTTGGGAAGGGGAGTGGGATTTGGGATATCTGGGATGTTTTTTGGGATGGGAATGGGATTTGGGATGTCTGTGTTGGTGGTTGGGATGGGATTTGGGATATCTGTGATGGTGTTTGGGGTGGGATTTGGGATATCTGTGATGGTGTTTGGGATGGGATTTGGGATATCTGTGACGGTGGTTGGGATGGGATTTGGGATGTCTGTGTTGGTGGTTGGGATGGGATTTGGGATATCTGTGATGGTGTTTGGGGTGGGATTTGGGATATCTGTGATGGTGTTTGGGATGGGATTTGGGATGTCTGTGTTGGTGGTTGGGATGGGATTTGGGATATCTGTGATGGTGTTTGGGGTGGGATTTGGGATATCTGGGATGGTGTTTGGGATGGGATTTGGGATATCTGTGACGGTGTTTGGGATGGGATTTGGGATATCTGTGATGGTGTTTGGGATGGGATTTGGGATATCTGTGATGGTGTTTGGGGTGGGATTTGGGATATCTGGGATGGTGTTTGGGATGGGATTTGGGATGTCTGGGATGGTGTTTGGGATGGGATTGTTTGGGATATCATGTGACGTGGTTTTGGTGGCTGGGATTTGGGATAATCCTGTGATGGTGTTTGGGATGGGATTTGGGATATCTGTGATGGTGTTTGGGGTGGGATTTGGGATATCTGGGATGGTGTTTGGGATGGGATTTGGGATATCTGTGTTGGTGGTTGGGATGGGATTTGGGATATCTGGGATGGTGTTTGGGATGGGATTTGGGATATCTGTGATGGTGTTTGGGATGGGATTTGGGATGTCTGTGTTGGTGGTTGGGATGGGATTTGGGATCTCTGTGATGGTGCTTGGGATGGGATTTGGGATATCTGTGACAGTGGTTGGGATGGGATTTGGGATCTCTGTGATGGTGGTTGGGATGGGATTTGGGATCTCTGTGATGGTTTGGGATGGGATTTGGGATATCTGGGATGTTTTTTGGGATGGGAATGGGATTTGGGATATCTGGGCTGGTGTTTGGGGTGGGATTTGGGATATCTGTGTTGGTGTTTGGGATGGGATTTGGGATATCTGGGCTGGTGTTTGGGGTGGGATTTGGGATATCTGTGATGGTGTTTGGGATGGGATTTGGGATATCTGTGACGGTGGTTGGGATGGGATTTGGGATATCTGGGCTGGTGTTTGGGGTGGGATTTGGGATATCTGGGTTGGTGTTTGGGGTGGGATTTGGGATATCTGGGATGGTGTTTGGGATGGGATTTGGGATATCTGTGACGGTGGTTGGGATGGGATTTGGGATATCTGTGATGGTGTTTGGGGTGGGATTTGGGATATCTGGGATGGTGTTTGGGATGGGATTTGGGATGTCTGTGTTGGTGGTTGGGATGGGATTTGGGATATCTGGGCTGGTGTTTGGGATGGGATTTGGGATATCTGTGATGGTGTTTGGGGTGGGATTTGGGATATCTGTGATGGTGTTTGGAGTGGGGATGGGATTTGGGATATCTGGGATGGTGTTTGGGATGGGATTTGGGATGTCTGTGTTGGTGGTTGGGATGGGATTTGGGATATCTGGGCTGGTGTTTGGGATGGGATTTGGGATCTCTGTGATGGTGTTTGGGGTGGGATTTGGGATCTCTGTGTCGGTGACCGCGAAGGGGCCCAGAACCAGCAGAGCCCAGCCCAGGGACTGCCCGGAACGGCTCCGGAGCTGCTCCAGCAGCGCCCGGCTCGGAGCCCTCGGGGCTGGGATCCCACCGGGACGGTGCCCACGGCCCCAAAAAAGGGCTCCAGCGACCCCCCACTCACCACCTCGAACCACTTGACGAGGGTGCCGAAGTTGGGGTTCTTGCGGTAGTTGGGGATGAGGGCGGACTGGACCCCCCGCCCCGCGCACTCGATGTCCACGCGCGGCCGGTCCACCTGGGCCAGGTTCACCCGCTTCAGGTCCCGCAGGCCCCAGAACAGCACCTGGGGAGGGGGGAAAGAGCAGCGGGAGGAGGGAGGGCGCGAGTGGGACAGGGAGCGTCCCCCGGGATGGTTCTCCATGGAGGGGGATCCCTGAGGGGCCTCCCCCTCCCTCTTCAGAGCCTCTCTGAGCCCCCCCCCCCCAAAAAAACCCACCCCACACCTGACCTGCAGTGGCCCCACCGGCTCCCGCCGGCTGCCCTCAACACTCCTTTTCCTGAGTTCTTCCCTTTTCCCACCCTGGCACCCCACAGAGCAGCTTCTTCCATCCCAAATGTGGCTCCCGGCTCGGCACCGGCGTCACCTCGTCACGGTGGGATTGGTGTCACCGTCACGGTGGGATCGGTGTCACCATCATGGTGGGATCGGTGTCACCGTCACGGTGGGATTGGTGTCACCGTCACGGAGGGATTGGTGTCACCGTCACAGGGGGATCGGTGTCACCGTCACAGGGGGATCGGTGTCACCGTCACGGTGGGATCGGTGTCACCGTCACAGGGGGATTGGTGTCACCATCACAGGGGGATCGGTGTCAACCGCACGGGGGATCGGTGTCACGTCACGGTGGGAATCGGTGGGCACCCGTCACAGGGGGGTCGGTGTCACCGTCACGGTGGGATCGGTGTCACCGGCACAGGGGGATCGGTATCACCATCACGGTGGGATCGGTGTCACCATCACGGTGGGATTGGTGTCACCGTCACAGGGGGATCGGTGTCACCGTCACAGGGGGATCGGTGTCACCGTCACGGTGGGATCGGTGTCACCGTCACAGGGGGATTGGTGTCACCATCACAGGGGGATCGGTGTCACCATCATGGTGGGATCGGTGTCACCGTCACGGGGGGATCAGTGTCACCGTCACAGGGGGATCGGTATCACCATCACAGGGGGATCGGTGTCACCATCATGGTGGGATCGGTGTCACCGTCACGGGGGGATCAGTGTCACCGTCACAGGGGGATCGGTGTCACCGTCACAGGGGGATCAGTGTCATCGTCACAGGGGGATCGGTGTCACCGTCACAGGGGAACGGTGGGTCACCATCAGACAGGGGGATCGGTTCACCCATATCAGCAGGGGGGATTCGGTGGTCACCGTGCACGGGTGGGAGTGTGTCACCGGGCACAGGGGAGGGTGTCCACCGTCAACAGGGGATCGGGTGCGGCACCGTCACGGTGGGATCGTGCGACCGTCATGAGGTGGGATTGATGTGGTCACCGTCCGGGTGAGGAATCGGTTACCCATCACAGGGGGATCGTGTCACCGTCAACGGATGGGGACGGTGTCCACCGGTACATGGGGGGGATTCGGTGTCAACGTCAGCGGTGGGATCGGTGTCACCATCACAGGGGGATCAGTGTAACCGTCACGGTGGGATCGGTGTCACCGTCACGGTGGGATCGGTGTCACCATCACGGTGGGATCGGTGTCACCATCACAGGGGGATCGGTGTCACCGTCACGGTGGGATCGGTGTCACCATCACAGGGGGATCGGTGTCACCATCAGGGTGGGATTGGTGTCACCATCACGGTGGGATCGGTGTCACCGTCACGGTGGGATCGGTGTCACCATCACGGTGGGATCGGTGTCACCATCATGGTGGGATTGGTGTCACCATCACAGGGGGATCGGTGTCACCATCATGGTGGGATTGGTGTCACCGTCACAGGGGGATCGGTGTCACCGTCACGGTGGGATCGGTGTCACCGTCACAGTGGGATCGGTGTCACCATCACGGTGGGATCGGTGGCACTGTCACAGGGGGATCGGTGTCACCGTCACGGTGGGATCGGTGTCACCATCACGGTGGGATCGGTGTCACCGTCACGGTGGGATCGGTGTCACCGTCACAGGGGGATTGGTGTCACCGTCACGGTGGGATCGGTGTCACCGTCACAGGGGGATCGGTGTCACCATCACGGTGGGATCGGTGTCACCGTCACAGGGGGATCGGTGTCACCATCGTGGTGGGATCGGTGTCACCGTCACGGTGGGATCGGTGTCACCGTCACGGTGGGATCGGTGTCACCGTCACAGGGGGATCGGTGTCACCATCAGGGTGGGATTGGTGTCACCATCACGGTGGGATCGGTGTCACCGTCACGGTGGGATCGGTGTCACCATCACGGTGGGATTGGTGTCACCATCATGGTGGGATTGGTGTCACCATCACAGGGGGATTGGTGTCACCGTCACAGGGGGATTGGTGTCACCATCACAGGGGGATTGGTGTCACCGTCATGGTGGGATCGGTGTCACCATCACGGTGGGATTGGTGTCACCGTCACGGTGGGACCGGTGTCACCGTCACGGTGGGATTGGTGTCACCGTCATGGTGGGATCGGTGTCACCGTCACAGGGGGATCGGTGTCACCATCATGGTGGGATCGGTGTCACCGTCACAGTGGGATCGGTGTTACCATCACGGTGGGATCGGTGGCACTGTCACAGGGGGATCGGTGTCACCGTCACGGTGGGATCGGTGTCACCGTCACAGGGGGATCGGTGTCACCATCAAGGTGGGATTGGTGTCACCGTCACGGTGGGATCGGTGTCACCATCACAGGGGGATTGGTGTCACCGTCACAGGGGGATCGGTGTCACCGTCACGGTGGGATCGGTGTCACCATCACAGTGGGATCGGTGTCACCGTCACAGGGGGATCGGTGTCACCATCACAGGGGGATCGGTGTCACCATCACAGGGGGATCGGTGTCACCATCACGGTGGGATCGGTGTCACCGTCACAGGGGGATCGGTGTCACCATCACGGTGGGATCGGTGTCACCATCACAGGGGGATCAGTGTCACCGTCACGGTGGGATCGGTGTCACCGTCACGGTGGGATCGGTGTCACCATCACAGGGGGATCAGTGTAACCGTCACGGTGGGATCGGTGTCACCGTCACGGTGGGATCGGTGTCACCGTCACGGTGGGATTGGTGTCACCGTCACGGTGGGATCGGTGTCACCATCACGGTGGGATCGGTGTCACCATCATGGTGGGATCGGTGTCACCATCACAGGGGGATCGGTGTCACCATCAGGGTGGGATCGGTGTCACCGTCACAGTGGGATTGGTGTCACCATCAGGGTGGGATCGGTGTCACCGTCACGGTGGGATCGGTGTCACCATCACAGGGGGATCAGTGTCACCGTCACGGTGGGATCGGTGTCACCGTCATGGTGGGATCGGTGTCACCGTCACGGTGGGATCGGTGTCACCATCACAGGGGGATCAGTGTAACCGTCACGGTGGGATCGGTGTCACCGTCACGGTGGGATCGGTGTCACCATCACGGTGGGATCGGTGTCACCATCACGGTGGGATCGGTGTCACCATCATGGTGGGATCGGTGTCACCATCACAGGGGGATCGGTGTCACCATCAGGGTGGGATTGGTGTCACCATCACGGTGGGATCGGTGTCACCGTCACAGGGGGATCGGTGTCACCGTCACGGTGGGATCGGTGTCACCGTCACGGTGGGATCGGTGTCACCGTCACAGTGGGATCGGTGTCACCATCACGGTGGGATCGGTGGCACTGTCACAGGGGGATCGGTGTCACCATCACAGGGGGATCGGTGTCACCGTCATGGTGGGATCGGTGTCACCGTCACGGTGGGATCGGTGTCACCGTCACGGTGGGATCGGTGTCACCGTCACGGTGGGATCGGTGTCACCATCACGGTGGGATCGGTGTCACCATCATGGTGGGATCGGTGTCACCGTCACGGTGGGATCGGTGTCACCGTCACGGAGGGATCGGTGTCACCATCACAGGGGGATCGGTGTCACCGTCACGGTGGGATCGGTGTCACCATCATGGTGGGATTGGTGTCACCGTCATGGTGGGATCGGTGTCACCATCAGGGTGGGATTGGTGTCACCATCAGGGTGGGATCGGTGTCACCGTCACAGGGGGATCGGTGTCACCGTCACAGGGGGATCAGTGTAACCGTCACGGTGGGATCGGTGTCACCGTCATGGTGGGATCGGTGTCACCGTCACGGTGGGATCGGTGTCACCATCACAGGGGGATCAGTGTAACCGTCACGGTGGGATCGGTGTCACCATCACGGTGGGATCGGTGTCACCGGGCCAACCCGCCGCTGCTCCCCGCCTGGGGCAACAGGGCTGCCACCGGGAGCAAAAATTCCCCTCGGTGGGGATTTTCCCACCTCCTGATTCCCCGTTTGGGCTGGAAAAGCCCTCCCAGCCCGTGGATCCCCCCTGTGCCCCATCCCCACCTTGTCCCTGAGTGCCACGGCCAGGCCTTCCTGGGACACCTCCAGGGCTGGGCACTCCAAACCTCCCTGGGCAGCCCCTGCCAGGGCCTGACCACCCTTCCCAGCAGGAAATTCCTCCTCCTGTCCCACCTGAGCCTCCCCTGGCACAGCCGGAGGCCGTTCCCTCTCCTCCTGTCCCCTGTTCCCTGGGAGCAGAGCCCGACCCACCCCCCGGCTCCCCCCTCCTGTCAGGGGGTTGTGGGGTGGGAAAAGGTCCCTCCTGATCCTCCTTTTCTCCGGGATGAGCCCCCCCAGCTCCCTCAGACATTCCTGCTGCTCCAGCCCCTTCCCAGCTCCCTTCCCTTCCCTGCCCCTCCCTGTGTCTCCTGTGTGAGGTCCCAGAGCTGCCCCAGCACCGGAGGTGCCCCAGCAGCGCCGGCACAGGGAGGGCACTGCCCTGGCCCTGCTGGACACACCGTTTTGGGCAGAAATCCCCCTTCAGACCCCCGCAGACACACGAGGGAGACATCCCACCCTCGCTGCCCGAGGCCGGTGGGTGCAGAGTCCCCGAGCCCTCTTTGGGGGACGTGACCCAGCTCCCCGGTGGTTTTTTTAGGGATGCTCCAGCGCTTCCCAGCCCGACCAGCCCAGGGAGACCCCCGTCCTTTACCTCCACCCTGTATCTGCTCAGCACCGGGCGGATCCCCAGCGGCACCGGCAGGATCGGGCCCCGCTCCACGTCCGTGGGGCCGTCGATGGGGGGCAGGTCGGACTTGCCCCCGGGGCCGATCTGGAAGGGAAGGAGCCGGGATCGGGAACTGCCCCCCTTTGAACCGGTGCTCAGCTCCTTTTGTCCATCCCATGGGATCCCGGAACCGTTTGGGTTGGAAGGGGGATCTCCACGACCATCTCGTCCCAACCCCGAGAAGCTTTTTGTCCATCCCACGGGATCCCAGAATGGTTTGGGTCAGAAGGGGGATCTCCAAGATCATCTTGTCCCAGTCCCAACCCTGAGAAGCTTTTTGTCCATCCCATGGGATCCCGGAATGGTTTGGGTTGGAAGGGGGATCTCCAAGATCATCTTGTCCCAGTCCCAACCCTGAGAAGCTTTTTGTCCATCCCACGGGATCCCAGAGCAGTTTGGGTTGGAAGGGGGATCTCCCCGACCATCTTGTCCCAACCCCGAGAAGCTTTTTGTCCATCCCACGGGATCCCAGAATGAATTGGGTTGGAAGAGCGATTTCCAAGACCATCTCATCCCAATCCCAACCCCGAGAAGCTTTTTGTCCATCCCACGGGATCCCAGAATGGACTGGGTTGGAAGGGGGATCTCCAAGACCATTTCATCCCAGAGAGCCCAGCCAGGGAGCAGCTCCTGTCCCATCCCTCCCAATCCCAGAGATCCCAGCCAGGGAGCAGCTCCTGTCCCATCCCTCCTAATCCCTGAGAACACAACCAGGGAGTAGCTCCTTCCCATCCCTCTCAATCCCAGAGATCCCAGCCAGGGAGCAGTTCCTTCCCAATCCCAGAAAGCCCAGCCAGGGAGCAGCTCCTGTTCCATCCCTCCTAATCCCTGAGAATCCAGCCAGGGAGCAGCTCCTGCCCAGTCCCTCCCAACCCATGACAGCCCAGCTCAGGAGCAGCTCCTTCCCATCCCTCCCAATCCCAGAGAGCCCGGCCTGGGGGCAGCTCCTTCCCATCCCTCCCAATCCCAGAGAATCCAGCCAGGGAGCAGTTCCTGTCCCATCCCTCCCAATCCCAGAGAGCCCAGCCAGGGAGCAGCTCCTGCCCAATCCCTGCGATCCCAGCCAGGGAGCAGCTCCTGTCCCATCCCTCCTAATCCCTGAGAATCCAACCAGGGAGCAGCTCCTTCCCAGTCCCAGAGAGCCCAGCCAGGGAGCAGCTCCTTCCCAATCCCTGAGAGCCTGAACAGGGAGCAGCTCCTTCCCATCCATGCCAACCCCAGAGAGCCCAACCAGGGAGCAGCTCCTGTCCCATCCCTCCCAATCCCTGAGAATCCAACCAGGGAGCAGCTCCTGTCCCATCCCTCCCAATCCCTGCGATCCCAGCCAGGGAGCAGCTCCTGCCCCATCCCTCCCAACTCATGACAGCCCAGCCAGGGAGCAGCTCCTGTCCCATCCCTCCCAATCCCTGAGAATCCAACCAGGGAGCAGCCCCTTTCCCATCCCTCCCATCTTCCCATCTCTCCCGGGCTCGGCTCCGTGCCCGCAGCCCTGCCAGCCCTGGCCGTGCCCGGGGGGTACCTGGAGCAGCTCCTTTCCCATCCCTCCCAATCCCTGAGAATCCAACCAGGGAGCAGCTCCTGTCCCATCCCTCCCAATCCCTGAGAAAACAACCAGGGAGCAGCTCCTTTCCCATCCCTCCCATCTTCCCATCTCTCCCGGGCTCGGCTCCGTGCCCGCAGCCCTGCCAGCCCTGGCCGTGCCCGGGGGGTACCTGGAGCAGCTCCTTTCCCATCCTTCCCATCTTCCCATCTCTCCCGGGCTCGGCTCCGTGCCTGCAGCCCTGGCCGTGCCCGGGGGGTACCTGGAGCAGCTCCTTTCCCATCCCTCCCACCTTCCCATCTCTCCCCCCACCCCCCCCCCCCCCCCCCACCCTCGCGGGGCTCGGCTCCGGTGCCCCCAGCCCCCCTGCTGATGTTGCCCCGGGGGTGCCTGGAGCAGCCCCTTTCACCATCCCTCCCATCTTCTTTCCCCATCCTCTCCCAGGGCCCGCGGATCGGCTCCGTTGCCCCGCAGCCCCCCCGGCCGTGCCCGGGGGGTACCTGGAGCAGCTCGAATGCCGCCAGCAGGTCCCCGGGCGTGGCGTTTCCGCGGTAGATCTGGTAGGACCCGAGCTGGGGGGGGAAGCGGGGGGGCCCGTACAGCTCCTCCGACATCTTCACCACCGGCTTGGCGAACGTGCTGCCCATGAAGTCGGCCTTGCCCTGCGGGGAGAGGGAGAGGGGGGGTGGGAACGGCCCGTGGCGGGGTGGGTCCCACACTGGGGGAACTCTGGGATTGACCCCACGGCTCCCTCTTGTTGTGGTTAGAACGGGAACGGTCACGGAATCCCTGAATCCCAGAACCCCGGAATCTCAGAATCCCAGAATCCCAGAATCCCAGAATCTCAGAATCCCAGAATCTCAGAATCTCAGAATCCCAAAATCCCAGAATCTCAGAATCCCAGAATCCCAGAATCTCAGAATTCCAGAATCTCAGAATCTCAGAATCCCAGAATCCCAGAATCTCAGAATCCCGGAATCCCAGAATCGCAAAATCCCAGAATCTCAGAATCTCAGAATCCCAGAATCCCCAGATCCCAGAAATCCAAAATCTCAGAATCCCAGAAATCCAGAATCCCAGAATCCCAGAATCTCAGAATCTCAGAATCTCAGAATCCCAGAATCTCAGAATCCCAGAATCCTCAGAATCCAAGAATCCCAGAATCCCAGAATCCCGGAATCTCAGAATCCCAGAATCCCAGAATCCCAGAATCTCAGAATCCCAGAATCCCAGAATCTCAGAATCCCAGAATCACAGAATCCCAGAATCCCAGAATCTCAGAATCCCAGAATCTCAGAATCCCAGAATCCCAGAATCCCAGAATCTCAGAATCCCGGAATCCCAGAATCGCAAAATCCCAGAATCTCAGAATCTCAGAATCCCAGAATCCCAGAATCTCAGAATCCCAAAATCTCAGAATCCCAGAATCCCAGAATCCCAGAATCCCAGAATCTCAGAATCTCAGAATCCCAGAATCTCAGAATCCCAGAATCTCAGAATCCCAGAATCCCAGAATCTCAGAATCCCAGAATCTCAGAATCTCAGAATCCCAGAATCCCAGAATCTCAGAATCCCAGAATCTCAGAATCTCAGAATCTCAGAATCCCAGAATCTCAGAATCCCAGAATCTCAGAATCCCAGAATGCCAGAAACCCAGAATCTCAGAATCCCAGAATCTCAGAATCCCAGAATCCCAGAATCACAGAATCTCAGAATCCCAGAATCCCAGAATCTCAGAATCCCAGAATCTCAGAATCCCAGAATCTCAGAATCTCAGAATCCCAGAATCTCAGAATCCCAGAATCCCAGAATCCCAGAATCTCAGAATCCCAGAATCTCAGAATCTCAGAATCCCAAAATCCCAGAATCTCAGAATCCCAGAATCCCAGAATCTCAGAATTCCAGAATCTCAGAATCTCAGAATCCCAGAATCCCAGAATCTCAGAATCCCGGAATCCCAGAATCGCAAAATCCCAGAATCTCAGAATCTCAGAATCCCAGAATCCCAGAATCTCAGAATCCCAGAATCCCAGAATCTCAGAATCCCAGAATCTCAGAATCTCAGAATCTCAGAATCCCAGAATCCCAGAATCTCAGAATCCCAGAATCTCAGAATCCCAGAATCACAGAATCC